GAATCATCCTCAGTTGCTTTCTGACGAAATAAAGTTTTCCCATCCACCATACACTATGTTTACACCCTGGCTAGCCGTGTCGGGGTGAAACGGATCTCGTGATATCATTGGCAACGGATTCTCGTGACGTTATCCCATACCCACCATGGGTGACGAAGCAGCTCCCTGTTTCGATTTCTGTTTTGACTTGCCGTTTATTGCTTGATTAAAATGTTTGACGAGTGCCTGGGCAAAATGAACCACCTTAGCTTTTTTAGGACTGTCAATACTATTTGAAAGCAGCATTACCTTAGTATGGTTGAAAATGCGCCAGAGTTCTCTCTTAAGTGCTCAACTAAATGCGCTGAAATCTAATTAGCTTGTTTTCGAATATTCTAGGATTAATCCACATAACAGATTATGATCGAAAATTGGGTGCCATGGCCTCTTCAACCATAAACTGGCACGATACACAGTTCAATGCTAAATTAGACATTGTTCTTTTCTGTTCTGCACATTAGCTTTGACAAATGGATACTACAAATAATCCAGTGATTTCCAAGAAACTGTGCGCCTGTATTGTTATATAGAATGCTACAGAAAGTTGTCTGAGAGTACAGCTCGCAGGCCTGTGCACAATAATAATACAGAGACCAAAAGTACAAGCTCAACGCACAATGAAAAGTTGTTATAGGCAGTTGCATAGACTTCACACCAGTAAAAATAATACTAACACAAGTTAATGAGAGAACCAGTTTTATCAAGGCTGGGGCTACCACACTGACTCATGTTGCAGTCGAAGTTTCTTTTTGAGTGAAAACACCGTGAAAGACAGAGTTTAGGCATCAATAATTGCTGTGTTTTACAAGAAGATTCCTGCACAGAATTTTCAAGACATTTTACACAGACATTCAGGAAAGCTGATGTGAGTACACCAATGAGGACAGAACCATGCAAACTAGCTCACATATCAACAATGCCGAGCACTACTAGAATTAGGTAGCTACGAGAAAATAACTTTTTATTTCCCAAGGTTAGAGGTGCGACTCGGACACGTTTAAAATCTAAGAAAAATAGGCAATTCAATCACAGGTTATAAAAGAGTGATCAACACACGAGTACATATTGCATGTAACCATCAGCACTATTTGACAAGGACGAAAGCAGTGAAAAGAATAAAATAAAAAGTGCAACACTGATAGAAACAGTAATGAGGCCTGGTTGGTAAATACCGGTACACTTAAATTTCCTAAAGTGTGTGTTTACGTACCTGGCCAGCAAAGAATGTTAGTTTTTAAAAATTTGTAATGTACAAAATCAGGCACTTGTAAACACCAATTATATCAATATATTAAACAGGTCGTAAATAAACATAATTTACTTACTTATGGTGAAACAAAGTTTGAAAAGCATGCAAATAAGATTGCTTTCACAAAATTGACACAAAAGCTGGGTAGCAACAAAGGATGCAAACATGCAATGAATCAAAAATGAGTGATATAACAAAAATACAGAGACAAAACATTAGATGCTGTTGAATTGTGTTATGTTAAAGGACTAATGTAATGCATGTTTCCTGCGATATACCACAGCTCGAAAATGGCACTAGACCACCCACTTACTTAGTTCTATCTTTATAGAAAATGAATTCTGTTCTTATAAATGTGGGTTCCAGTAACATTAGTGGTAAATCCTTCAAGTGGTAGTTTACTGTTCATTCAAAGCCCAAAAACAGTTCACAAGCACTTCCCAAAGACTTGCGCAGATTAATGATACTAGCTTCTGTGGCCACTGACACAACAAGTGAGTAGTTCATTTGTTCGCGTTTAATGAAACAGTTTGGTGTTTAAATAAGCGCTCCCCTTTGTCCCTTCTCTTGTCCTGCATCATTAGAAAGTATTACCCTATTTCCTTACGTGTAAGGCTAATGGTGCTCACAGGGAGAGTTAGGATACTCTAGCCTGACCGGAAACTGATTGCTGCATAACCAGCATACCAATTAAAATGACTGGCAAATGGGCTTCAGTGTACCGGTGCTGTACCAGTCAGTGTGTACCAGTAAAAAGGGTATAATTCAAAACCTTAAAGCTATGCTTTCCTCGTAAAAAATGCATTACGATAAAAGAATTCAGAATAAGTGTTCTGAAAAAGTGCTGTGTTGTCAGTCAAGAATAATTTAGCACTTATATTTTAAGTGGTTTACGCAAGCCAGCTACACAGAGTAATTAAACGTGAACCGCACGGAAAAGCATATAATGGATCCAATCCAAAGGTTTATCTTAGCAGCACAAAATCACTTATGCTGTACAGTTGAGTGCGGTAAACTTAAAAATATATGTGTATATACTAGGACATCGCAGTGACGTGCAGTTCTCATCACAGAATTCTGGAGACGCTCGTGAGGTCTCTTGGCAGCATTAGCCTAAATGCTGAGCAAATATTTGGGATCACTAAATACTAGATCAAGTAGTCCAATTCAATAAACAGAACAGTTTTAATACGGAAACATTTCAAAGCACGAAGTGAGGCAGGACAGACACCTTCTCGAAACTGCTCAGCTTTCTAACAAAATGAAAGTAGTTTCTAAAAAAATAGACATTTTAACGGCTCAAACACTAACGCCAGTGACTTGACAAGTGTTCTAGTCACTCTATCAATTTAAATTTGTTATTGTCTAGAATATCATGAAGGCAAAGTAGTTTAAGAAAGGTATGTGAACAGTGGCGTAACTAGATAGGACGGCGCCCAGGGCAAATATATTTCCGCGCCCCTCATTATGCCCGTGATAATGTTTGTTATTATTATTATTATTATTAATAATAATAATAATATTATTATTATTATTATTAATAATAATAATAATATTATTATTAATAATAATTATTACTACAGCTCCTATTAATAATAATATTATTATTATTAATAATAATAATATTATTATTAATAATAATTATTACTACAGCCCCCCCCCCCCATTAAAAGCGCTAATGTAGGCTTCCGCGATTGCCTACTGGCGCGCGGCGGGCCATTTCGGAGGCCAAGGGCCACCAGTTCTGATTTCGATGAGCTACGCCCGCGTTTTTGTATAGTATTTTTCTTTTTTTATTCAAACTTCCGGAAGTCCCTTACCCGTCATTGTTCTCTTCCAGTCCACACTGCAAAAATCTTGACGGCACGGGCGCTTCCCAGGCCCAAGTTTCTCGTACCTAAGCTTTCGCGCTATTTGTGCATCCCAAGGAATGCAGGGTGAGTACAAAACAAAGCAACCAGCTAGACACCGCGCCCTCGGGTCTGGTATGGGGGTTAAACTGGTCGGAGTGTTCTGCCGTTTCGCTCCGTTCGCTGTTCCATTGATGGAGGTCATCCTTGTGCGGCCGCATTCTTTCAGGGAAGTTCTTGGTTTCTCCAACGTACGAAGCGGGGCAGTCGGCACATGCTGTCGGGTACACTACGCTCTGCGCTTTTTTCGCAGGTGCGTGTTCTTTGGGCCAAAGGATGAACCTGCCCATGGCGGTGGATGGCATGTGGGAAACGTTGACCCCCGCCCTTCTATTGCTTTGCTGGCGCCCGCGATGCAGGGAATCAACAAACGTCGCCGTCGTGTCACGCTTTCTCCGTCTTTCCTCCAGAGAACTCTGCGAATAAACGCCTTTGTTTAGCCTTTGGTGCCGAGGTCACGGATTATATTCGCCCTTCCTTCCGCCGCTGCGTGGACGATTAGTCGTTGGACGATCGGCTATTTCGTTGGAGTTTTCTGTTCTTACTCAAAAAGGTGCATTCGAACTTTTTTATTTTATTTTGTTTACGTACGTGGTTGGTTTCAGGGAAGCTTTCAGTAAGTGGTTTGGGAGGCTGGTGGGGTTCGCTGAAACTCATCTAACCCAGTGCTGCGGAGCACAAAACAAAGCTTAGCCGAGGGTCATGGGAAGGCACGGAGGTAGCGCAGCAAAATGAAAATAGAGGATCCTTTTCCCGATGCAAAAGCCATTGCGGCAACCCTTTCCTTCACCACCATCCCCACTTCCAGTCGTACATTACAACCTCGCCCCTCCCCCCTTCCAGGCGGTTTTACGGAAAAAAACATTGACAACCTTTCCAGGGGGCGCCAACCCGAGGACTCGGCTTGGCGCCCCCTCCCTAGTGGCGCCCGGGGCACTTGTACCCCCTTGCCCCCCCCTAGTTACGCCACTGTATGTGAACTTGTTGGCTGAAAGTTAAGTTCCTACAGCATGCTAGGTTTGGCTTTCTTGGCATTGCCATTTAAGGTAATTATGCCATATTGCCATTTTACAGAACAGCTATCACATTTAAGATTATCAACAGAGCAACCTTAATTCCGTGAATTCAACTCCAAAGTGGGCCAATGTTACCTAAATTATCTGAAATACAAATTAAATAGTGCTTAATGCACAAAGGTGCCTTCTCAAGCTTTTAGACTCTCTCATAAAAGGCAGCCTTGAATTCACAATTCTATTGGCAGAAGTACGCATAACACCAGTTCCGGAAGCAGAGCTACAATTTCAAATACATTTCACAAACAGTTGAACCTATTCATGACATCCAACTGTCACGAAATTTGTAATGTTGTAACCAGCGACTCTTACATGTGGAACAAAAATGCAAAACAGAGCCTTTAATTTGTTGTGTTCTTTCTCTTCAAATAGTTTAGCATGTCACTGCCATCAGACATGAGAATCCAGCAGCCAGATTTCACAGTAATACTAACTGATGATGCAGTGCAGAGGTGTTCTAGCAACGAAGTTATTTCCTCGCAGAAAACCTAGAAAAGCTGCAAGACAGCAGCTTCTTACTGTTACATTGTTGTTCTAAATGTGATGGACCGTATATATGCACATACACATTCTTGTGCCACACTGTTAGCTATGTATAATGTGTAATTTTTGTGATAACTTGCAGCAAATATTTCAGTATATGATGGCATTAGCAAAAAGAAAGCCATCATCATGATTGTTGTTAACACCACCACAACAAAACAGCATGCTGAAGGCTTAGCCGAGGTGCACAAAAACCAAGTATTTGAGCAAGGCTGTACTTTTACTGTTCTTACTTAACTATACCCAATTTTTTATAATGCAATTTATGTAAACAGGTGCATCGAGTCGAGAATGTCATCCCTGTCATCTATGCCAAATGTGGCAGTGCCAGGTGCAGTGGAATAACCACGAAAATAAATTTAAAAAGCAATCCTTTGCTTCTCATCAGGCATTTTAGGCAATTCAATTCATCGCCACATTGATCGGTATACCTGGTGATGTCACTAGAGGCAGACGCCATCGATTTGTGAAACAAAATGCTCACAAGAAGGGCCACTCACCAGGTTTGATAATTTTGAGCTGACAAGTGCAATGCGTAGACGTGGCGTTCGCGATCATGTCTGCCGAAATTCGCAACGCTACGCATTGCAGAAATGGGTCAAATTTTAAAATGAACGCTGCTGCCCCTTTCTTTCGCGGGCATGCGCCTAGAGAATGAGGGCATGATGTGCACATATGAATTGCCCTATGTACACAGCAGTGCAGTGACATTGGTCCTCTACGTAGACAACAACGCTCTGACGTTGCCAACAGTGGCACATGACATGGCGAAAATTATTTAACACGACATGCATAGTTTGTGTAATTTTTGTTTGAAGAGATTAATAAAACTTGAAATAAATATTGACACGCAATAAGAGAATGTGCCCGTCCTTTTTCCGTTTTTTCCCTGTAAGTTGCAACGAGATGTGGGGCTAATGTGCCGGCGTTTCGCATGCGTTTGTGTCCCTGTGGTCAGCACATTGAGCAGACAACAGCAGTGGAAGCCGAAGTAATAATCTTATGCGTTCGCGCACTCATCTATACTACAGCGTCTAAGCCAGCGTTTCCAAATCATCCCGCAGACTATATGCCGAAGACACAGGCAGTAGACCACAAAATAACGCTGCCCACAAAACAATGCCGCTCGCATGCTCTCAGAGTTTGGGCCTGTCATGTGCACGTGTATATAAGCCAGTATAACAAGCTTCTAAAGTTAAAAAATGATGAATCGATGTCAGGGTAATACGCTCATTTAGCCTCGAAGTGGGGCTTCACAGCAAGTGAATTTTTCTTGCAGGTGTATTTATGGTACAGCATCCCTCCACTGCAGCGAAACCACCTTTACATAACGTTAGGGCTTGAACCTTGCGGCACCATCGTGGGTGCGGCCCGCAGACGGTGCCGCCTGAAGGGGGCACTCTCGTCTTCTCGGGACTAAATAAATTTCTTTGACAAACTGACTGGATGCTGACTAATACACACTTCATTTCAAGTACTTCAAAATCAGGGACGAAGGCAGAAATTTCTTGGGGGGAAGGGGGGGGGCTGCAGAAATGGCCATATTTCACTCGGTATGCCAAGGTGAAAAAAAATTTCAGAGATAGAGAGGGGGCATGGGCTCGGTGTGCCATCCCCTGCCTATGCCACAGTTCAAAGATTCAAATAATTTAAGATCGGAATGAAGTGAGTTCAAGTACTGTAATATTCATTTGAATATTCAAGGTGCTCGAATATTCACACAAGCCTTGACTAAGAACATGACTATTCAACCTGCTTAGTCAAGAAAATAATATGCCTCTCTCTTGTGTGTTTTCGTTTTTTTTTTTCAAATTTATTCGTTAGGAAGCTCAATTTTAAGCCTTTTTAAGTGAACTGTCATGTTATATTAAAAATTGGAGATCGAGTGATGCCAGAGGACATAATGCTACATTTTTTTTTATAGGTTAAGGTTGTTTAGTATTGACAACAAATAATATAGGAAAATCCCCCAAGCAGTCTTCACTGCTCGCACGTGCAGGAAGTTTTTTGCTATTCAAATAAATAAATACAGCTATTCTAGGACCAGCCATGCAGTTAAAAAAAAAGAAATCTGTGACAGTGTGGACAGCACCTGTTCGTACCTCTGCAGTAGTGACACATTCATATCAGGCACCACTGCAGTGAAATTGGCTTGCAACAACTGTACTACGTTACAATGCAGGTCAATGGGTCTTGGCCGAGACCACAGAAAAATTTGTACCACCTATGAAATTTCGTGGAAGCCGTGATCATATCACCAAGGTTTTGCTGTATTATAAAAAAAGAAATTACAAATTATTGAGATTCCCCTATGTCTGTTATACTTAGGAACTGCAAAAAGGGACATTAATCTGTGATTTGCAGTAATAACACTTCTGCAGAAGCCTTGCTCTGCATTACGGGCCTGATCAAGTTCTTGCACTAGAAAAATTGTCACCAGCATATTACATTTCTGATAAATTTGGTGCAACTATACTTATTTTCTACGATAAAGAAAGGGTTAACTAGAGGCTTTGTCAAAGGCTCAAGCCTGCTGGGTTGCACAGTCTAATCTAATAAGAAATGACTAGAGATCACAACGTCATATTTATGAAGAGGATTTAGCAACCGGTAAAATTGGAAAAGTAACGCTACGACGAAAAAGGAATGGAAGTGAGTGCCAGTCAGCTGGAACCGGCTTTGCTGGTGGCCGTGCCATCGTTGGCCGCGCCACCGCCCACAAACCGCTCGAACTTCTCGAGCCTGTGGTAGGGTAGCGTACGCGCCCGCTGCCAGCTGACAACAGAGACGACCGGCGCGCCGACGAGTAGGAAGCCGAAGATCAGTGCCAGGTAGCCATAGGCGAGGACAAATAGGGCTGCCCAGAGGCACTGGAGTGCCAGCACGGCTGCCAGGGGCAAAGCACTCACCGCTGGATTTGCAGTGCCGGCGCGCAGTGCCTGGCGTCGCCGCCACAACGTGCAGCCCAGGCAGCACACCAGCGGCACGTAGCACATTGCAATCTGCAAGCACGATCCACTGAGGTTTAATCCTTTAATGCCTGAATTATGAAACTGCCCAAGAAAATAGAAAGTGTTTCCATTTGGCAGCTTTAATAGCAACCTTTAAATGATCCCACAGTTAATTTATCCAAAAATGCACCTTTAATGCATACTTTTATGTATGTTGCAAATTCTACACATGCCACAGAAGCGAGGACCTTGCAATGAATAACGCAATTCAGAACTACGCAACATGTCGTGCGCCACGGCTTGAGTGCATACACACCAAATAAACAAAATTATTGAAGATAGAACTTCAGTCAGCCAGGCGAGAAAGAACGAAGAAGTGAGCCCTCTTGCACGTCCTCCGCGCTCTCCATCAGCAACAAAACAATTGAATCTAGCATAAAATACATTACACGAGACCGCACTAGATTTTCATGCTGAAAGCAACATTTCCTGTGAGTACTTGACAGCTGGCATTAAAGGTGGCACAGCATGCCGTGACTCGATAGCTCAAAGTTTTTCGGTATGACGCCAATTCTCGACACTAGTAGTTTTTAGGCATAAAGTGTAACATTGCTCAAGCGTACTTGTCCTCGGCATCACTGTCTGCTAGTTCTGATTAATATTGTGTCTAAGAAAGAATAGCAAACCCTTAGTTACACCTCTTTCACTCATTCGTAATAAAGGTCTCATTCTGGCAAACTTGATGCAGCATACGAGAGATTATTGGTCAGCTTCCAGCTCGTATTAAGATCACATACTACCTGACGCCAACATGAAAGAGTGCTCCCACTCGCCGTCATGGCTGCTGGCTGTGCTCACTAATACTCGCAGGTTTAAGTGCACAGATATATATATATATATATCCCATAAAGTGCACGGGGAGACAACCACCACTGTAGCTCAGTTGGTAGAGCATTCGAAGGTTGCAGGCTCAATCCCTGCCAGCAGCAAGTTATCTTTTTGCCCACTTTTCTTTCTCTACACTGACATTACATTTACAACTAATAACATCCCTTCCTTCCATAAACACATACATAAATTCCCGCTTCCTTCATTGTTTAAGCAAGGAGAATGAAAACTCATGTTGTTACCATACTATGCATCTCAACATGTCAACATACAACTAACTAGCAAGGGCCTTGATCAACATATTTAACCGTTAGGTTTAACACTGCAAAGCAAGATGGTGAGGCTGCGAGACTAGAGTGGCTTAAGAACTTCGAGCGACACGAATTAACAGGTCATTTACTCCTCTATAATGTCACGTGACGAAGCGAGCGGTATAGAACTGCAGCAGGTAAAGACTAGGCAAGCAAGAAAAGTGACGCTCTCAGAGCAATGAAAGCCTCGAGCACAGTGGTGAATCGTCAATCAGTGAATAATCTGATCAGCAGTAAAGGTGTGCGGCATTTAGGCAAGTAGTATCAAGAATTGAAGCCTTATCGTTGGTGACAGCATACTTCCAGGAAAAAAACATTACTGCTTGCATTACACACTGCGGCTAATGAGAAGAACCTAAAGTAATCAGGAGTGTTAGACATTCTGGCACAGTGCTGCAAGGCAGTGGTTACACGCATAATAGGTCAGTTACATGAAAATGGAAAAAGATGTGCACATGGCAATAAATTTTTTAATTGTGTAGTGAAAGTATGCACAGTGCATTGTTATATTCTTGTGAGGATGACAAACATTTTCCAGTAAGCTTAAAAGAAGCGTTGCATCAACCGCAGCTCGCGACAACTGCACGGATACCAATGAAAAGAAGACTCACAAAAACCATGCCATAGAAGTAGGAGAGCCCGCCGGGCAGGAATGTGCCATAGACAACAATGCCCCAGACAAAGCAGGCACCCAAGTGGCCCTCGACCATCTCACCTACGAACCAGGGTCCTGCACACAAAACCAATTAGCCCTTGTACTTATACTTGTACAAAGTGTGTACAAGTACTCAAAACATCGTCATTCATAATTCAACAAAAATTTAAAGACACTTTTACAATGCACTTTAAATAATCAAACAACCTGAAATTTTGTAATGTACTGCATTATGAAGTTTTAAGTCTGAAGTTGAAGAGAAGCTGCAGAGCTTCTTCGACAACGCTTTAGACGGATTCGTGACAACTATCAGCAAGACACTTTTGGTGACTTAGTCTTCCAGTGCATATACATAGTAAAATGGCAAGTTGTGCCAGTTGGTTGGAATTCATCTGGAACTTGATTACAGCACAACGCTAGACAACGACAAAAAAGTCATGTTCGTAGCCGTCTCTTTGACCGAGTTCAACATGGAGTACACACATAGCTTGTAAACCAATCAGATGTACTGAAACATTATTTTCCTTAATGATGGTCGGCTTCCAAGGTACACAAGTAATGAAGTAGACTTCTCATAGCATGAATTACAAGACAATTCTGCATTGTAACGGGCAGGTAAAGTTAGCCGGGGGTGAACACTGGTTGCTGCAAGTCATTTCTTGGTCACCAGTTACAGTCTGTCCAACAACCAAGTGATGAGCCCTAACTCAGTTCACCAGAGTGCACATATGCATGGAATACAGGAGTTTATCTTTGTTTGAACAATATATATATATATATATATATATATATATATATATAGTGACACGTGCGGTTCTTTTCGTTTGCGAAGGAAGACGCTATCACTTTCTGTTAAGCGCAACGCAGGCCGCGTTTATCTTGTATGCCACTTTGGAACGCGTTACGACGCGTGTATAAAAAGCCGGCGCAGTGCGCCACTGGGGGTCTTTTTTTTTTTCGTCGGCCGACGACTGTTCACGCCGCTGTTGCTGTGAGTTGTGTTTGGCCCTGTTTTGCTGGGCACAAGTTCGCCCAATAAACAGTTCGCCTGACACCGCCCTGACTCCTGCGTGCTTCCTCTCAAGTCTGTTGGCTCTTGATACGCAGGCGGGCTAGCTGTCGAGCTTCTTCAGCGCGATCCAGGTAGCTGGCGACGTCGAGGTCTTCTTCGTCGGTGCCGACCGGTAGCATGGCGTCAAGCGTCGTTGTTGGGCTCCATCCATAGACGAGCTTGTATGGAGCAAACTGCGTCGTTTCCTGCACGGCCGTGTTGTACGCGAAGGTTACATACGGGAGAATGGCGTCCCACGTCTTGTGCTCGACGTCCACGTACATGGCCAGCATGTCGGCGATGGTCTTATTTAGACGCTCGGTGAGGCCATTCGTCTGTGGGTGGTACGCGGTGGTTCGGCGGTGGCTTGTCTGACTGTACCTCAAGATCGCTTGCGTTAGGTCAGCCGTAAAGGCCGTACCTCTGTCGGTGATGAGGACCTCGGGGGCTCCGTAGCGGAGGACGATGTTCTCAATGAAGAACATGGCGACCTCGGCGGCAGTGCCCTTGGGCAAGGCCCTTGTTTCGGCATAGCGGGTGAGGTAGTCAGTCGCTACGACAATCCATTTGTTGCCAGAAGTTGACGTCGGGAACGGCCCCAGTAAGTCCATGCCGATTTGTTGGAATGGCCGTTGAGGTGGTTCGACGGGTTGCAGAAATCCGGCTGGCCTAGTTGTCGGCGTCTTGCGTCACTGACAGTCTCTGCATGTTTTTACGTAGTGGGCGACGTCGGCAGCGAGGCGAGGCCAATAGTACTTCTCTTGTATTCGTGACAGTGTGCGGGAAACACCAAGATGTCCGGCTGTCAGGTCGTCGTGTAATGCTTCCAGAACCTCTGGACGTAACGCTGAAGGTACCACGAGGAGGTGGTCGGCGCGGAGCGGCGAGAAGTTTTTCTTCAGGAGGACGTTGTTTCGCAGGAAAAACGAAGCCGGTCCTCGGCGGAATACTTTCGGCACGTCGGCGGTCTTGCCTTGCAGGTAGTCCATGAGGATCTTGAGCTCCGGGTCAGCTCGTTGGCGTTCCGCGTAGTCGTCGGTACTTATGGGTCCCAGGAAAGAGTCGTCGTCCTGGTCATCCTGGGGCGGCGGATCGACAGGGGCGCGAGACAAGCAGTCGGCGTCGGAGTGCTTTCGTCCGCTCTTGTAGACGACGGTGATGTCAAATTCTTGTAGTCTGAGACTCCACCGTGCGAGGCGCCCTGATGGATCCTTCAAGTTAGCTAGCCAACACAAGGCGTGGTGGTCACTCACGACTTTGAAAGGCCTGCCGTACAGGTAGGGGCGGAACTTTGATGTAGCCCAGATGATGGCAAGGCATTCCTTTTCTGTCGTGGAATAATTGGCTTCTGCCTTCGAAAGTGACCGGCTAGCGTAACTGATGACCCTTTCAAGTCCGTCGGTCCTCTGCACGATCACGGCGCCGAGCCCTGTGCTGCTTGCGTCCGTGTGAATTTCGGTGTCAGCTTCTTCGTCGAAGTGCGCCAGTATTGGCGGCGTTTGCAGGCGTCGCTTTAATTCTTGAAATGCCTCGACTTGCGGCGTTTCCCATTTGAAGTCGACGTCGGCCTTCGTGAGGTACGTCAGTGGCTCGGCGATCCGCGAAAAGTTCTTCACGAAGCGCCTGTAATAAGCGCAGAGGCCAAGAAATCGGCGTACTGCTTTCTTGTCGGTGGGTGCAAGAAAGTCGGCGATCGCAGCTGTTTTCTGTGGATCAGGGAGCACTCCCGACTTGCTGATAACGTGGCCAAGGAACAATAGTTCCTCGTAGGCGAAGCGGCACTTTTCTGGCTTCAGGGTAAGTCCCGAGGCTTTGATTACCCGAAGAACAGCTTCAAGGCGCCGGAGGTGCTCGTCGAAGTTGGAAGAAAATACGACTACGTCGTCCAAGTAGACGAGGCAAGTCTGCCACTTCAAGCCTGCGAGTACTGTGTCCATAACCCGTTGGAACGTCGCAAGCGCCGAGCAAAGACCAAAGGGCATGACCTTAAACTCGAATAGGCCGTCTGGTGTTATGAAGGCAGTCTTCTCTCGGTCTCTCTCGTCTACTTCGATTTGCCAGTAGCCGGTTTTGAGATCCATCGACGAAAAATACTTGGCGTTGTTGAGTCTGTCCAGAGCATCGTCTATCCGTGGGAGGGGATACACGTCTTTCTTCGTGATGTTCAGGCGACGATAATCGACGCAAAAACGTAGGCTTCCGTCCTTCTTCTTCACCAACACCACGGGTGATGCCCACGGACTCGTAGACGGCTGAATGATGTCGTCACGCAGCATTTCGTCGACTTGTTGCTTGATGGCCTCGCGTTCCCGTGCAGAAACTCGGTAGGGGCTCTGACGGAGCGGACGGGCATATTCGTCGGTTATGACGCGATGTTTCGCGAGAGGGGTCTGACGAAGCCTCGACGACGACGAGAAGCAGTCCTTGTATTGGTGGAGTAAGGCTTTGAGCTCCTTTTGTTGCTGCCTGGAAAGGCTTTGATTGATGTCGAAGGCGGGCGCGGACACTGCTGTCGACGTTGCGGCTCCCTGAGAATCAGTGAGGGCGAAGGCATTGCTCGCTTCCACAAATTCGCTTAGATGTGCTACCGTCGTGCCCCTATTTAAGTGCCTATATTCGTTGCTGAAGTTCGTCACCATTACCTTGGCTTCGCCGTTATGAAGCTTGGCTATGCCTCTTGCGACGCACATCTGACGGTTTAGGAGCAGGTGCTGGTCGCCTTCGATGACACCTTGTAAGTTGGTAGACGCTTTGGTGCCGACGGAAATGATGACGCTCGACAGTGGCGGGATGGTTACCTGCTCTTCTGTCACATTCAAGGCATTGTGAGCGACGTTGCAGTCTGACGCCGTTGCATTATCCGTGGACAGCGTGATTGACCTGGATCTTAGGTCGATTACTGCGCCTTGCTGGTCCAGGAAATCCATGCCTAAAATGACGTCTCGCGAGCATTGCTGCAGGACCACAAAATTCACAGAATACGTCTGGCTGTGAATCGTGACTCTTGCCGTGCAGGTTCCAGTCGGTGTTATAAGGTGGCCCCCTGCTGTTCGGATATCCGGTCCTTCCCATGCAGTCTTTACCTTCTTGAGCTTAGCGGCGAAGAGACCACTGATGATAGAGTAGTCGGCGCCGGTATCGACTAGGGCGGTGACGCTGTGGCCGTCGATGATCACGTCGAGGTCGGTGGTTCGTCGTCTGGCGTTCCGGTTAGGTCGGGGCGTCGGATCACGGCTGCGTCGGCTTGGTCCGGTGCTGCTATGTCGCGTCGGCGGCGAGGCTTTGTCGTAAAGACTCTGCTCAGGCGGCGTACTGCGACTACGTCGGGAAAGTTCGTGCGTCGTGGTCGTCGTCATCGGCAGCGGCGGCGGCGGCGGAGGAGGATCTTCGGCATTGCGTCGTGCAGCAACCGCACCTCCATCGGTTGCTGCCTTTAGTTTCCCGGGTAGGGGCTTGGGGATCGGCCCCGGTTAGGGCCGGTGTACTGGCGGCGATCCGGGGAGACGTAGCGGCCAGGCGAAGGTGAACGGGATGGTCGTCGTTGTTGCCACTGCGATCCGGCGATGTAGTCGGCGATGTCGCTCACCTGGGCGCGGACGCGGCGCGTTCACGTCGAAGCCACGCAGTCCCATCTCACGGTACTGGCAGTAGCGGTAGGTGTGCCCGGCTTCGCCGCAGTGGTAGCATAGTGGGCGGTGGGTCGGGGTGCGCCAAACGTCAGTTTTCCTCGGCGAGCGCTGGATTACTGGCGAGCGGGAAGGCGTCGGGGGTGGCGGCGGTGGCTGGCGACGAAACTGCGGAGACGTTGGGTCCTGGTGTTGGCGAGGAGCGGCGACAGGTCGTCGTGCAGTAACGGCGTAGGTCATCGCCTCCGGTTGGGGCTGTGGCCATTCAGGAACGCTCAGTGAGCGCTGTAGTTCCTCGCGGACTACGTCTTCGAGAGAGGCGACTTGGGGCTGAGACGATGGCAACATGCGGCGCAGTTCTTCACGAACAATAGCGCGTATGGTCTCGCGCAGGTCGTCGGGGCAGAGTCCTCGGACTTCTGCGACGTCTGGCGACATGCGCCGATCGTATTGGCTGGTCCGCATTTCAAGAGTCTTCTCGATGGTGGTAGCCTCGGAGAGGAACTCTTGTACCGTCTTTGGCGGGGTTCTGATCAGTCCGGCGAAGAGCTCCTGCTTCACTCCTCGCATAAGCAGGCGAACCTTCTTGTCCTCAGACATGTCGGCGTCGGCGTGGCGGAAAAGTCGCGTCATCTCCTCCGTGAAGATCGTTACGTTTTCGTTGGGGAGCTGCATCTGAGTTTCAAGCAGTGATGCGGCTCTTTCCTTCCGCACGACGCTTGCAAAGGTGCGCAGGAAAGCAACGCGGAAGTCGTCCCAGGTTCGAAGCGTTGACTCGCGGTTCTCGAACCAAGTCCTTGCGGCGTCTTCCAGGTAAAAATACACATGACGCAGCTTGTCGTCCGGGTCCCACTTATTGAGGGCTGCGACGCGGTCGTAAATGTCAAGCCAGCTTTCCGGGTCTTCGTAGGTCGATCCGCGGAAGGTAGGCGGCTCTTTGGGCTGGTTGACGACCACGGTTGCCGAAGACCTTGCTTCCGTCATCATGGATGCCGGCTTCGTAGCAGCCTTTGTTTTCTTGTCCTTGTCGGGGAGAGGCAGGTATTCGGGCGGTAGTCCTTGTTGTCTTCGGCTCACTCGAACGACCGGGTCGGCGTCGTCCTCTTGGCGGCTTGGGCTTGGCTCACGGCTGGACGGGGGCGTACGGTACATGGACAGAGAAGCACCTCCACCAGATGTCACGAGGTTGTGATACACGCAGCACTAGAGAGGAAGCACGCAGGAGTCAGGGCGGTGTCAGGCGAACTGCTTATTGGGCGAACTTGTGCCCAGCAAAACAGGGCCAAACACAACTCACAGCAACAGCGGCGTGAACAGTCGTCGGCCGACGGAAAAAAAAAAGACCCCCAGTGGCGCACTGCGCCGGCTTTTTATACACGCGTCGTAACGCGTTCCAAAGTGGCACACAAGATAAACGCGGCCTGCGTTGCGCTTAACAGAAAGTGATAGCGTCTTCCTTCGCAAACGAAAAGAACCGCACGTGTCAGTTTTTTATACACGCGTCGTAACGCGTTCCAGAGTGGCATACAAGATAAACGCGGCCTGCGTTGCGCTTAACAGAAAGTGATAGCGTCTTCCTTCGTAAACCAAAAGAACCGCACGTGTCAATATATATATATATATATATATATATATATATTAGCTATTCGATGTCTGCATTTTTTTTCGATGGAGGCGAAAATGCTGTTGTTGGTTTCCTCAGCGTGCAGCTGACATTAGAGTTCCTAGACTATGTTGTACTAATTCTTAGGGTTATGATTATGAGAGACGCTGTGGTGGCGGGCTACAAAAATTTCGACCCTCTCGAGTTTTTTAACGTGCATCTAAACCTAATACACAGGCCTCAAGCATTTTTATTTTCATCGAAAGTGCAGCCACCGTGGCAAGGATTCGATCCCCCGTTCTTTGGATCGTCAGCCGAGCACCATAACCACCGGACCATCATAGCAGGTAGTTCCTAGACCACATTTATCAAACCTAATTAATTCACTGTCCTTCTTTAAGAGCTCCTCTAGCCCGTTAACATCCCTTAACAGATAAGGAAGGGGGTGAGCTGTCTGGGAAAGGACCACATACCAATGGCTAAGTAGAGAGGGAGGGCAACCAATGGCCAGAACAACACATCCACCGAGACCAGCAGGTGAAGGCATCGAGTCAAGCAGCCACAGCCCAGACAGCGGCCTGGACTCAGGTCAGGGGGACCCACTGCACAATCACACAAGATGTCTAGAACACAATGTGCTTAAACAGGAGGGCCCAGTGCATGCGACTCTTTCAGCTAAGTGGCTAGCTCAAGGCCAGACTTGGCAGTGGTGAAAGTACTTTAAGTTGCCTTTCGGTGCAACTATTTAGCTATGCCTGAACTAGTGCAGAAACATCTAGGATGTAATCCATTCTCCGTTCCCAAGACTGCCCTGCAGAGGTGAGGTTTGTGAACTTTCACTGCATAACCCTTTCAGGCACGAATTATGTTTCACTGTTTGAAAATGTGTCGAAATTCGCACGGCATGATACCAAGCCACCTAGTACTACATTCCAGAAACCAAATGAAGAAATGTGTTGTTTTGTGTGAGTTTCAGTAAAAATATTATAATTAGCATGTAATTATCACATTCAGTCCCAAATTATTTCCAATGTAAGCAGCTGGTTTTTACTTTACGAGATGAACATGATTATGGTAGTGCAAAAAAACTGAAAAAACTTTTTGACACTTGTCGATAAAAAGCAAATAATAGTGTCAATTAATTTATTCATTATTTTTATTTAAGGGGGGACACGGATCTTAGAAGGCCAAAAATCGCATAAAAATCGACTTTTTTGAAGCTGACATTTTCGGAATCTGTACCTATCTTTGCACCTATCTGAGAAGTTTCTAGCTTCTCGCGTCATTATTTCTGGCACAAAATCAATTTATAACATCCCTGTGAGATGAATGTGAGTGCAAACTGACGCTAGCATTGTGCTTTTTTCGCGCCAAACTGTTGCCATTACACACGAGCTATCGTGGTCATCGTGATCTTATTTGGAAATCGTCGTTCTTCATCTTCAATTTCCTGCCACCACTGGCTCGCCTTGCTCATTGGTTTTTTTTAGCAAAAAGTGTCTTCGAGAAGCACTAGCATGGGATTCAATTGGCTGCTTAGGGCACGTGACAAAACCTAGGCATCCGATTGGCAAAGGGGCGCTTTCGGTGTCTGCTTCACTATTGTGATGCGCACGGACATGCGCCATTTTGTCATGGTGCTACTGACTGCCTGCGGCAGTAAGAAGTTCCGTGCTACAGTAATTTCTAAAGCGAATTGGCGGTCGTTCGTTCGCTGTGAACTTCAGAAAGAGCCCCGCTATGGCTCAGGACAACGAGGATAACGAAGTCGACGCGGTCAACGGCAGTCGCCGAGTCACCGATGTAGGCCTAACTCGCGTACGAGCCTGTTGGTTGCCGACAACGTTACTGAGAACGGTTGTGTTTTGCAGCCTCATCAGTTAGAGGACGGCAAGTAAAAAGCAGAAGTGAAGCTAGAAGAGATATCAATCTTTGTAGTGACAGGAACGGAAGCGCAGTCTTATCACTAAACGCGCCAATGCCGCGGTTCCCCCCGCCCTGACGAAAGGACCTTGAACTGCGCGACGGGTCGTCAGAGTGGAGTACGCCGCGCGTCGACGAACAACAGAAAGTCAATCCGTTCGCGGTGAAAATGCTCGCCGCCCCCGCAATAGAGACTACTGGCAACTGGTAGACTGCTTTTAACGACGTGTTCGCAGCATTGTCGTGATCTCCGCTTGAAAATGCGTCAGTCTTACGTGAAAAGGAAACTAGCACCTCGGCACTCGCGTTGCCTCGAAATTGATGAGCGAGGGAGCAACTTTGGCTCGCGACATTTACAGGTAACTCATTCTGGACAAGCCGGAAAACATCACTGTGTTATTCGACGTATCGCGGATGACGCACGCACAATTTTCGCATGTCGCCGTCAGTACAGTTACGGAACTGATAAGCGGCCTCGCGGCAGACGAGCACACGGCGACAACTTGCTACAGAACTAGAAGAAACTACACGCTCGTGCAAACAATCAGTCCTATTACATTCCCGGTGCATATTAACTGACTAAAAGTATGTGTGCCATGCTATTTTTTCCCTCGGAACAGCGAAATAAAGTTTTAACAGCATTATTCTTGAAGCACAGATTTTGACCACTTTCTTAGGCTTGTTCGGTAAAACTGAACCTAGGACAGCTAGAGCTGTAATTGCTTTTGCACAATGTAGCTAAATGTGCATAAAAAACAATGTTGGAAGTTATTTTTAATGGGCAGCTTCATTTTTTATTTTAATATAAAATTTCTGTATTTGGTTACATGCAATGAACTGTGCTGTAATGCAATGCAATGAACTGTGCTGTGATTCGAGAAGTACTCGTTCAATTTTCGATCAGCTTGCAGCGTTGCACTCCTTAGGCTTTCTAGCATTCATTGATAGGTCAATGGCCATGTAATTCTAAGTACATACATTTTTACAGTTAAAAATGTTAGCATTCTATGTTTTCTTCATTTTCTCAAAATGGCAATTTCGCACACGCTGCATGAAAATTACTGCAATATATCGGAAACTATTACAGATAGCAGAATACTTTTTTTTTGCAGCATGAAGCTATATGTTTGGAGCACACAACATAGGAAGCAGATTTTGATTAATCTTGATGCAAGTTTTTTAAACTAGTCTTTTGTGTGACCACACAATGGCCACATTCAGAGCTGTGAATTTTAGAGTACTGTAAAGTAAGAAATAATGCCTCAATCTAAAAAGTGCTTCCTATGTTGTATGTCTTATGCTTTCTACTGTCAATCCCTATATTATTTATAAATGTTTGACGGGTGGCTATATTTCCATTGTGGTAAGAACAATAGAAATTGCTATCTTGATTATTTAATTAACTAATGAAGCTACAGAAAAAATCACTACATTTTTAAAATCAGGAGAACAAACTAAGTAAGCATGCCAACTTTTGTCAGATTTGGTTCATAAAATAATGAGAGAGCCCTAAGACCCATGTCTCCCCTTAATAACAGTTCCTTATTTCTGTTAAATTCATTACACAAGTTGTTTAGCTGGGACAGCATAATGCTAGATAGTTAAAATTCGAATCTTCAGCAAATAAATAAAATAATCATCCCTATCTCTGCATAGTGAAAGAAGAAGCTCCCACAGCCAAATGTGCAAAGAGCACAACCACTTCTAAAGTTTCTTTGTTCACACGTGACCTCACTTAACTGTGCCTACCATGTTGGCTCTACTTGAAAGGCCGATGCTAAATATGGGCTCTTGAGGAATATCTTTACCAGATGCTTGCTGATTGACCTCAAAAATTTGATTCCAATCAGGATCACTAGGCCTAAAAGAATTAAATGTCTAATTATTCTGCAACCAGTCAGCTTTACTCATTGCATAAAAAGATGAAAATATTAGGCCTAAAATGCATGCACACCTTCTTTTTTGGTTGCATTCATTTCGCGCAAAGAAAGAAAAAACTCTCTGTGCAGGTCTTGGAACCAGCCGCGGTTATCGAACATGCTAGAGTCACCAGTAAAGTGATCCGCTGCTGCATTATGCAGCACAGTGAAGTTAAAACTTGCGGCACGTGATGCATCTTCAAAGTCGTTGTGTACAATGGCATACATCACCAACGAAGGGGATATACCGTATTTACACGATTGTAAGACGACTCGAATGTAAGACGACCCCCCCAAAATCGCATCTCAAAAAAAAAAAAGAAAGAACGCGCGCATTTTACACAAGGGAAATTTATTCACGTGGTTGCGGAGGATTATTCATCGTCGCTGGAGTCGTCCTCGCTGGTGCTGCTGCCGTCATTGCTGCTGCAGTCCCACAGCACGTCGTCGTCAAGTGTGAGTCCACACTTCGCGAACGACCGCACCACGGCATCGCGTGGGACGGCCGCCCATGCGGAGAGGACCGATTCCGAACTTCCGTCCTGCTGCACAGTTGTTGGTTTCCTCCGCATGAAGAATAGCAGCCCGCTTAAACGCTGCCGTAAACGAGCGCCGAGTGTTCTTCGAGCCTACGGCACTCATGTCAGACAGAAGCGACTCGAGAGAGCCGGTCGTGGACACAAGCGACAGGAGCACGCGGCGACGCGCCCGCTTAGAAAATTGTATCACAAAGAGGAGCTCTTCCGTCAACTACCAATACCCCCCTACGGCGGCTCTTCCATCGATTACCGGTGCTCCCTCAAGAGCCGTGCGCTCGTCATAAAGGCACTCGTAATGCGTGCAGTAGATGCTAAAAAAAAGAAAAGCTTTTGTATAAGCATGCGGAAAACTATGCGCTTTGGGTTGAGCGGGAAACTATTCGAGATGACAATACATGGTTCGATTTCGATTCTAAGGTACATGGTTCGATTTCGATTCTAAGACGACCCCCCAACATTGGATTGTCAAATTTGAAAAAAAAAGGGTCGTCTTACAATCGTGTAAATACGGTACTCTACTATTACTCCACTGACTGAGCATGTGTAACAAATGTGTTTTGTCTGTGGTTAAAAAGGAATCGTAGGAGAGCCAAGTAAAAGAGAGTGTTGTTCACAAAGACGTTTCTTACACCATGACGACGTCTGGACAGCCTTGATCCAACACAGCGGCAGCACACATGCCAGGATAATCAGGATGAACAGAATCCGCAGCTGCAAGGAGCATACACACATTTTAAAGGGACACGAAATAAAAAAAAGCTATCTTTCTAGCATAAGTAAACTACCCATTCATAATACCAAAAGAATTACTCTCGCTAGTACGAAAAAGCCCTTCATGAGCGAGAAAACATGCAATAAGTCAATGGAGTTGGTGATGCCCACCTAGAAAGTTTTTGCATAAACCACTATGATGCATGGTCGTAGACCCTGCTGGTGCCCACAAGGGCCTACGTTGATCTCAATTGGCAAAAATGACATCCATGGCCATCTAAGAGGTCATGGACTTCAGAAGGCAAAGAAAGGCAGAAATCTACAAGCCATTTGCTGGTGCCCATAAAAATAAGTGCTTGAATCCGTACCCAGCTGAGAAACGAGTGAACCCTGTAGCTGCCCCTGTAATCTGACGGGTGTTATACAGAACAGTATGACAGCACCTACACTGATGGCAGTGCAAAGACTTTTTGAATACATTCCCATATTATTATTATTATTACAATAGCACAACTTGAAACTTGTGATATAGTGTTCATCTGTGAAAACTGTAGTGTAAAATTTGAAAATAAAACTTTCATTTTCTCATCTAATATTAAACATGTAGTTGTGAAATCAATGACAGTAGGGCTTTCAAAGCATACCTTACCTGAAAACTGATCCATGCACACTGAACAACTTCTGTGTACAACACCTAGAACCAGAAATCTTTCACTGCTACAAATATTTCTGTAGCTACAAACATTACTAGTACTATAGTATCCCAAATCGACACATACTCCACAACAATATTTCGTATATAAAATACCACTAATAAACAAATGAAAAGCCCCAGTCTAGCCCAAACGGCAACATGCTAACAGTGGCAGAAAAACATGGCAATGCTATGTAAATTTCTGTCATGTTTCTCACACTCATTTTTGTTTACCACTACTTTGGAAGCAGATTCTTGCAGCTTATACATTCTCGTTTCTTCATCTGCTTAAGTTATGTGCATTTTTTGCTGCTACATTTTCTTATGCATGAGCAAAGTGCCAATCTTTTTGTTACCTGTAAAACATCACTTTATTTTACCAACTATTCTTAGCATATTGCTTTTATATTAAAAAATAATTGTTTTACTAGCACGCCATTATTGAAAAAATTAGGCTGTCATGCATTGGTATTTTTTTGTAATTTGCTCGATAATGTCTTCCCTTACACAATGTTCCCCATGGGGTCTGTAAGGTGCATTGAAATAAAAACAAATAAATTAGTGTTTTCTCCTATAGTAATGATTAACACTAACACTCCTATAGTGATGGTTAATCTTCACACAGTTAACCTTAACCTATGGTTAACCATAACATGGTTATTTCTAACATGGTTATCCCTAACATATTTAACACTCATGGCAACACGTACCCTAACACCTGTACCCTATAAAACACCATGTGCGACTTGTTCGCTTGTATCATACAAAGTCCACTAGAACAGTACTCATGGATACAGTGACTAACCTATCAGCCCAGATAACTCATCACCCACGAAGACATATGTAGCTGAGACAAAGTGTAGCTGCATAATTTTTTTTGCATTCCTTGATAACAGGTCCATTACGAATATCAATTCTTCTCATTATTTTTTGTAACCTTATATACGATTGTATAATTTTGTTAATGTGTACCATAAAGTCTGCGAAAAAATATTCCTGACAAGAATGACAGTGTTCATTTTGAAAAAGTCAGAACTGCCCGATTATTTGAATGGCTCCGCCACACCGGCACTAGTCCTTCAGACTTGGCGACTAGACTCACCGCTCTTATGCCACCCTGAAGAAGGATTCGCATAGCCACGCTGTGAGGTGGCAGGGTGCCATCCACTGAGAAGGTCACAACATGCGCATCCGACCAGAGTCCTTCATGAGTCATGGCCTGCACACTGCGAATGGGAATCGATTAGTTTGTATACTGATTACTGTGCAAATATTCGAGCACTCCGAATGTCCGAACAAATATTACAGTAGCTCTATTTGCTTTGACGCGAATTTAAATTATTTCATATTATCAAATAAATGTACATTATTCCGCATGCAACCACCTGTAAAGGTGGTTTCACTGCAGTAGAGTAGTGCTACACCGTGCATACCCCTAATCAAGGGAAATCCGCACTGCCCCGAAGGCCCGGCTCAAAGTTAAATGCACATATCAGTAGAGCTGTGCGAATAGCAAAATTTTGGGTGCAGGAATTCGAACATAGAAGTGCGAGTGTGCATCGAATCAAATTTTTTTTTCTAATATTTCTAAAATATTTTTCGGCTAGTTCGAAGTGAAATTGTAGGGAAAAATGTTGGAAAGGATTCCTAAGCATATGCTTAAGAGATATAGCAACATAGAAGCGTTATTTTCTATTAGATTGATGAAGCACCGGCAGGTGTGATATTTATGTCGTCTTATCAAGGATAAAGCAATGCAGAGGCCGAATTGTATTAGTACACGATTTGGTGCTATCAAAGTGTTGCCGAAAACAATTTACACTTAAGAGGCAAGGATGCTATTTTTTTTGGCCTCTCCTCCTCTTTTAACTTCTGTAGAAGCTGACCTCATGTGGAATACAAGGTTGTGCTCCCTCCGAGTTAGGAGTTCCAAATCTGCCATTGTAGACGTCAACATACACGAATATTCGAAATTTTGGATGCTAAAAATCTTTGGCATCAGATTTTTCTAACTTCCTTTCTAAATTTCAGCTCCAAACCAGCCTTGATTGAGCCCCCACTTCTGCCACATCTATCATCTCCATGTTGTAACCAGCGCTTTCTTGAAACAATATATTTGCTAGTGTGGCAACACCTAAAAAACAGCTTTGCCGCATTGCGAGAATGTGTTGAGGTGAAGTACATTAAAAATTAAGGGGGTTGATTTTAATTGTACACAGTATTTTCTTTGAAAAATTCGACTGTAGCAAAGTCTAAAAAATAGCTTTACCACAATACGAGCATTTTATGAGGTGAAGCATATTACAGGTCTGACAGGGTCATTTTCAATTGATAGTTGACTGCATCTGTTTTTCGGAAGTTCAAATAATACCAGTAGTAAAAATTGCAGTGTGAATGAAGTTGAATAGCGAACACTATTAGAAAACTATTCAAAATTTCAAATATGTGCACATTCCTACATATTAGCTTTACATAAATACATCATTTTTTTCTTTATTTATAGACTTGTTATACCGGCTTACAAGCTCTAAAGTATAGTCAATTTTAAAACGCCACCTATTATATTGGTTATGGCTTACATGTACCCAAAGTTGCTGGCACTTTCCTTTGGCCAAAAAAAAAAAAGACATTTGTACATTACCTGTTTCAATTTAAGAAAATATTGTGCACGTTAGTCGGGTCATGACAAATATTCTCATTATTCTTTACAATATGCGACATATGCTATTCGAATATTTGACTTGAAATTATTCAACCAAATCACTATTTACTTCGAATTCACTTCAAACCTAAAATTTACTGTTTGCACTTGCCTACAATGACCACAAATGTTTGCAAAAAGCCATTCTTGATAAATTCCATTCTTGATAAATTCCATTCTTGAAAAACACCATTCTTGATAAATTCACAATTTTTTCAGCTAACTTGCACTTTGTATCAAAAGAACAAACATGCATTACGCATCTCGAATCAGCTCAGTATTGTCCTAGGCGGTATGCACCATATCAGGATATTGTTTCCAATCTGCCAAGCTGGGTAACTAATTAAGATTGCTTAAATAGCTCTTAATTAGCTCCAGCAAAAAATCTTTAACACAACAGTAGTAGCACTTCTTCTGGCATTTCAGAATATTTAATTCAACTGCCAATCTGGTTAATCTGATTATTAACTAAAGTTGCCTAGACAGAGAGAGAATAAGATTGAGTGAAAGGCAGGGCGTTAACCAGAACAAAATTTCCGGTTTGCTAGCCTGCACTGGGGAAAGGGAAATGGACATGAAAAGATAAAGTGGGAAATAAGAGGGAAAGTGCTGGTTAAAGAAAATAGAAAGAGCACACACACTTAAGTATGCAAATTAACTTAATTAACCTTTAGAATAGTAGCTCTAAGAAAATATGTTTAACAGAAATGTTCTAGCACTTGTCTGGCAATGTCAGATTATTTTATCTATACCAATATAACTGCTCTGTTTATTTTTTTTTTCATTTTTCTTTATAATTAGCAATATTAGAACATATATTTGGTGCAAGTCAACTGAAACACCTACTGTAAAAGTTGTATAAACTGTACCACTTATTCCTTGAACATGATAGGAAGACGACATCAGACACATAGCCAACTTGAGAATTGTCCATGTCGACAAGCTAGAAGACATGTTATTGCTTACAAAAAAAGAATGTTAAACAATACAGCCAATGTTGCAAATGGGGCAAGCACTGGCAAATGCAATGAAGTCAACTTGGACAGGTTTGAGCATACTATCGAAGAATTAGGTAACAACACAAGGAATGGGACATAAAGCGACTGAGATGGACAGTGTGCCAAATGATTTGCCAGATGAAAAAGCAGAAGTTGGAAGTTGCCGTTCTTTCTGTCCTCTCTTTTTTTTTTCCACAGTTTTAACCCTTTCATCTGGCACTATTAATAGTGGTGCTATGTACAGTCACCGTCAATATGAGTTCTAACACGTTAGCTGTAATTGCAGTGACCCCAAACATGAACAATGACTCCGACAAACGGTCAATTGGTACACAAAGTACCTCTGAGAGAATTTAATTGATTAATTTTTTTTATGTAGGTGCCCATTTGCAGTGTTGGCACTATTTTAACCCCATACAGCATGTTGCAACTAAATAGAATATAACTGTTCATACTAGTTTTGTAAACAGAACCAATTCAGGTTGCTTGGAAAGCAACTACTCAGCCATTAGACCTTTTCACTGCAAATCTCGAAATAACCCGGGCGACAGGGCACACCCTGCCAATTCTGAGTATACTCATTTTGCCTTTTAAAATTATTCCCTGCCATTTGCGAGGCAATTTTCAAATAAAATCATGCAAGTGTGTCCCACCATCCATGGAGAGAATACATAAACAACTGACACGTAGTAAAATTTTTTACAGCAGAGGGAGCACACTAGCACGCTTGCACATTAGTGTCGGCTCGTGTCTCTTGCCAGCATCTCAGCAGTGCAGTCAGTGCAAGCCAACATGCTACATGCGAACGCTATTTCGCAGAAGAAATTCAGGAGCTTATGTCGAATTCGGACTCAAAACAAAATGTATAATTAGTGTCTCAATAGCCCTGACTCAATGGGTAATTACTTATTGTTAATTTGTTCAAACTAATAATGTCACTAATTGTTTCATAATTTATAATGATTACTATTAACTTATTTTTATCATTATATTATTAACTTTCATTAACTTCAAATTGTTCTCTACTCAATTTGCTTCAATTATTATGTATATGCACTGTCAAGCTTTTACTTGCTTTTCTATGGCTCTTACTCCCCTAGAAATGAATACATATCACTAGCAGAACTTAAAAAGGGACAAAGAGAGAAGGACCCCACTTCTTTGTCCCTGTTTTAGTTCTACTAGTAATATAGATTCAAGTCAAGACCAATAAGCCCGAATTCCACCTTAAACTGTAATCTCTAGACGTTATACGATCTCAACTGCTTCTCTTCCCTAATGCTGACCTTTTGTTCAATAAAGGCCATATTCGCACGAGACATGTAGAACTTGTGGCACAAGTGTGCTCGAGCAACAGTCAGCATCTCTCACATGAGGGTGTGCAGCCCTGGCGAGAGCTCCTTGGTGTCCCAGGGAGCAACCCAGAGGGGACCCTGGGCGACCCGCTTCAGGGGCTGCCAGGGGCCATCATCCACACTGCAGCGCACCTCCGACACCGACGTGGGCGAGAACACCAGGGCCCTGGAACACAAAACGGCAGGCAATGAATTCTGAAAAATCCCGCAAGGTGGTGGAACGGTTATGTAGGAGAGACGTGGGTCTTCAGCGTCTTTTAATAGTTGGTTGAACATAATGAAATTTTAAACACTTATTCAGTTTATTCCGCAGGCTCCAAATCTTGAGTAGATGTTTAATAGCTGCATTACAACAAAAGATATGCTCTTTCAACAATGTTTCCGAGCATAATTTTTATGGGAACTTTCAATAACTTCTCGTCATCAGACACAAATAGTATGCATCAAGATTGCCAGAAAGGTGGTTTAGCTAATGATGCTATTTTCTTGTAATCCTGTTAACCAAATTATAATCCTCAATAGTGATAAAGTGTAAGAAGCGGAAGTTTTTTACTCATATTTGCATTCTTTTATTTTGCATTCAAGGGTGAATGAAAACAGTTCAAATAGGATGACTGGTTAGACCAGCTCCTTGGCAGTGTAATGATGATTGTAGTGGGTCATGCAAATCTCGGCACACACATTGTCAGTGCTAAGCACGAGACGCTCGGCCCGGACTGTCGCTGATTTTGATAGCTAGGCCTACGCTCCTACCTGGTCTCGGATAACAGTTTTGACTGTCTCCGTTCTATATTATAGCAGTTTTACCACATAAGAAATATGCTCTCAGAAGTTGCATATCTTTTGTTCTAATGCATACGATAAAGATTTATTTGAAGACTTGGAATCTTCATAAAAAACTGGGTAAGCGTATTAAATTTTATTCATTCAAAACTAATAAAAACAACTTTTTCGAGACCCACATCTTTATGCCAAACTGACAAGCACCCATTTGTATCTCGACACCACAAGGAAATCCATACAGTGCAAATTGAGCACAAGTTTGCAGCGAGTGAAAAATGTTACCATGCTATATTTAGTAGATGGAAAAAATTGTTCAGTAACCATAATGAAAATATGACACTCGTCTTAGTGAGGAGGACACTACATTTGTGGAATTGATCTCTGTAATAACATTATATTTCAATCCAGTTCTTCACCTGCAGACCATTCAACCTGCAACACAGCTCTTATACAATGTACAGTAGACTCGTGGAAGCTGAAGGAGCCAAGAATTCAAGTACAGAATCGATCATATCACAAACATAACACATATCACAGGCAGGTCATATCGCAGGCAGTTGTTCCACTTAAGCAGTTGTTCTAATCCATAGATAACATTTTACTCGAAGTAGACTGCATATCAAGTTGATTGAACATTAGCAACAGGTAAAATTTGCAAAAGTTGCCAAAGTATGAAGGCTAGTGCCATCTTTGGCACTTAATCACTTAAAATAAAAAGTTTACCAGTAATTTTCTCAGATTTCATCGACTTTTTCTTATTCCAGATACTTTTTTCACATTTATTCCCACACCCCCATAACAGCCATTCAAACTGGTAAGTGCCTTTTTTTTTTTTTCATGTCATACATATACACATTTGACACAATAAACAGCTTTGACGTTGCATTACCTGCAGATGAGCAAGGTTTCCTGGGGGTGAGATGTTGGTCCTCAGCAACGCTACTACACAGGAAGGTAAACCTTCTCAACCCTAACGAATACCATGCACAAACCTGACATGCGTGGAATGGGTGATGCGCCGCAAGGGCTCCACACCAGGCATGGCCATCACTGCACTTTTTGGATTCGTGACCAGTATTATGGGCCACTCGCGAAAATGCACATCCACAAAACTGAACAGACCATGGTCCACTGCTGCAACCCGGAACCTGGAATATAACAGAGAACAAAACCCACTCAAACATTTAAAATGACGCAACGTAGAGATAAATGGCGCGAGCAGAATGTAGAAAAAAAATTGCAGTTTCATCTCAATGACCAAGCGATGAATTCGATAGCAACAAATGAGTGAACTCTTGCTTGAGCAAACTTCAAGGGACACAAGAAAATTTCATTTAACTGAAAGTTCACTGAAGTGAACATTCACCAGAATATCGACTAGCATCGGGCACAGCCTATATAGAGTCAAAAGTGTGAAATGCAGTTTATTTTAAAAAGAATTCTGCAATTTCCATAAGCACTGGTGCTCTTAAAGCATAAGAATTAAGAGACAAAGCTGTCCCAGTGAGTCGAAGTTTCTGTGCAATGCCTCTGGTACAGCTTGCTACTTTGACATGAAGTCTCGCAACTTTCTCGTTGCCCTGTTCTGCTTCTGGTTCCAGACAAACAATGAAAACAATTTCGAAATACGATTGTTCTGCACTGCTAACACTCACTTTCACACTGCACGTAGTCTTCAAACGAACTACTACTTTCAACATTCAGATGCAGTGCTGTAAAGCGAAAAGGTTCTTTGATTTGATTTTAAAAATGAGCCCAGATCCACGAAAGAAGTTTGTTCAACTAAAGTACTCACTATTTAAAAATTGATTTAATTGAAAAAATTTTGCATTCAATGCACACATTTTTGGAAAGTTCATCATATTGAAATATTTATTAAACCGATGTTTGTACAAGTGAAAGTTCACTTTTGTAATTTTATACAAAATAGGGCGAGTAGCTAGCATTTTGGGATTCAATCTTGCGCAATATACATGAACTCCTCAAGTTCCACCAACACGAATCAAAAATAAAAAAAAGAAAGACCCATGAAATTCGGTCAACATGTCAGCAACTTTAAAAACTTCTTTGATTCGCTGCCCTTGTATCTATTTCATCTGTATCAGTTTCATAGAAACTGCACCAAGGCACTCACAGGCGGCCACTCTTCCAATCGGCCAGCTCGAGCTCAAGAAACCCCGATGGCTGCAGTGCATACATGCCCCGGAAGAAACCCAGGAGACTGTGGTAGTGGCCGCACAGGTATGGGCCACCAAGCCTGCAATGAAGAGAACGGTTGAACAGAAGCCTCCGAGGCACTTACACAGTGACAATACAATCAAGCGAGGCATGCGCAGAAACCGTAAACCTAGTGGCCTGCTGCAGAAGTCACAAAAGAAACGTAGCTCAACACAATATGTTGGTGGGCTAGTTGGTGTGAATCCATTGTGATTTTTTAGCTTTAAATAACACCCCAAAAAATATGACCGGACAAGGAGTTCTGTCTTCTTCTTCTAAGGGTGTTGTTTTACACTTAAAAAAAAAAGCACTATAGACTCACAAGAGTCACAGCACCGCTCAAAGGGTAAAGCACCTAAAGTGACAACACAGTCAGTAGTGGAACATCCTCATTAGCTTTCAGTGGATGTCATGGTGCAAGAAAAAGAAAAAAAAAATGAGTCAGAAATGCCACTTCAGCACTTTTTTTTACACACCTGTGACCATGCAGACTGGACAGAAGTTGTATCGAAATGAAAGGAAAAAAAAGTTCTTTTTTTGTCAGAACAAAAATGCATCCAGAATGTTGTCTATTCTTCCATTTCACAATGAAGCAGTAATTTTGCTTACTAATCAGGATGGCAATTCGGTACAACCAAGCTCGTGCAACGTGAGCATTAATGTAAATTTCAGGGGAGTGCGTATCTCAGGCAGGGGTTCCAAAGTAAGGATGGGTTAAAATTTTGAAAAAAAAAATGAAAAGTGTGGCAACCAGAGCTCTTTATACCTACACAAGTGGATCCTAGTGTAAGAGTCAAACAGGCCAGCATGAAAAGGGCATTCTTGGCACTTAAGTTCGTTTTGACGGAACAGTAGTCTCGCATATAGTAAGAAGTTACACATGATGACATGCTGCTTCTGAGATCATGCCCCATTCCTTGACGCAAATCATAAGGCCTGTTCAGAGAACTTGTAGTTCACTTATGAAAAATTAAATAATAAGTTTTTTCACTACTTCAACTTCAAAATTTTTGCATACAAATAATGATCACTATAAACCAATATGAATTTTTTTCAAAAGAGAAACGAAATGAAACTTTCTTTGCTTGAATGAAGCTAAAACCAAAGCTAAAGAAATTTCATTCCTACCCACTGTTTTAACGATAATCATGCATGAGCCATGATAATTAAGCATAAGCTTTTTGAACCTTGCACAAAGCCTCACTAAATTACAGCCTGCAAGTAGGAAATCCGCACCTGAGCAACTCGTGGATTTCGTCAGAAGCCACGCTGCGCGTCGGATGGTGACCAAACCAGATGGTAAAGTTGCTATCCTCGTGTCTCCTCCCGAATTCGTTGTAAACTGCTCAGCTCAGCCTGAAAATATGTAGCACATATAATGGTTCGCAACATTGCAAAACATTAACATTTATATTTACCTGTATGACACAGCCTGCATTGCTCAATGACTAGCCCAGCAAACTTTTGAATCGGGTGCACTTACAGTATCAACAAAAAATGTCAAATAGTGCACATTTGTCTTCAATGGTAACCAACAATAAATTACTTTACAGTGATAAATTTACTGTGAAACATCCAGTGTCATTTTTTCCCGTTGTGGGTTTTCGAATAGATGAGCAACTTGATGTCAAAAGTTTCACTGCTAGATTTTCAGCCGAAACCTCCAATAGCGAGATCACGAATTTCAAATTTTGGCCACATTGGCTCCATTATATTGCCTGAAACTTCGTATGGTACTCGTATGGCTTCTTTAGAAAACAATGTATTTCATCTTTACTGATTAGGAACTACCTATAGGTCCTAGTAGACGCTGTCGACGTCTAGGATGTCATGGTGTGAGAACTGAGAGGTAGTGTTGGCACCCACATTTTCCTTTTGTGCATATTTTTGCTTACCAAGGGTCTTCTTGAAGAAAGGCTGGTGTTTGTCTTATAGTGAAACAGTAATTTACAATTAGAAAAAATATAGTCTTTGGCATCAGGCTGGGGCATGCCACCAGTTCCTAATAGCAGTGTAACCTGCCTAACCTGCCTGCACTATTAATCAGTTGTTCTACTGTTTTAATTAAGAACAAAATAACCAAATTTCTTGCTGAGTGAACTTGTGCACCCTAAATAAATCAACAGTTTAACAACTATGACAGCACTGAGCACCGCTGCTGGTCAAGAAATCTGAACTCACAGGTCAACCACTATCAATACATGCTGGATCATATATTGCATACTAAGTAATGTTTACGTATATTTGAGAACGTAAAACACTGAATCATGCGGACAATATAATGAGACATGTTTGTTTCGCTGCACAATTGAGAACGCTTAAGGTATTTTGGATACGGCTGTCTGTCACAGGCAATAAGTAACTTGGCTTGCATAACAGTGCCCTATATTCAACGTATGCATTCTCACCCAACACTACTTAATACACGACATACACACTAACATTAATAGCATTTTGAATATTGTTTTCGTTTCATATACTTGCTTCTATTTTGCTACTGAGATTCAGGTGTGCACAACTCACTATGCTGCTGCACTTATTGCTGCTTTGAGTTGTGCTCAAAACAGCAATAAATGCTAAACAGAAGTAATGCTTAACTAGCACTGCAAAACAGCTCTCTGGATGGCTTAACAGTGACTGTAACCTTTGTGCAGCATTCCTCCGAGTCTACATCTGCATCATGTTTCTTCAATTCTACACTGCTGGGGCAAACCGTTCATAACCCTTCAACACAACATTTGTGGACACATAACGAGTCAAATCATTGCTTAAGGGCCGACTACAAAAATTTCTTTAGGCTGAATTTCTTGAAAGCAAGCAGCAGACGATACTGTTGCTATCTCGGCAAAGCTAGTCCTTAAATGTCTTCATTGACATTCTTTAGATAGCACCTCAACACAAGGCACTTGAAAATGGCTGAGACAGATTCACACAGCAGGACATACGTATCACAAGACAAGCGGAGGGCATCTGAGCTGCAACAAATCGTGCCACAAACAGCTGGTACGGGGAAGCGTCCTGCTGTGTAATGCGATTCAGCAGCACTAAGCTAAGCCACGCTCACACGCAGGTTAAACTAGCAATCTGTCTTGTCACGTGAATCCACGGTGAGAGGACACAATGCAAACTAAGGGCCATTGGCTTTCAAGATTGCCAGTCTACCATGCATACCACCCAAATCCTATATTAAAGAACTGTGCCAATTGTCATCATTCTAGGGTTCCTGTTATCTTTTATGTGTTAACACTGGAGCATCTAATCTGATGAAAAAACCATATGCCATGTGTTGGGCGAGCAATAAACTTCTGGCATGGCCAGACTAGAAAGGCAAACAGACATAATGCACCTGCCGACTCTCATCAGGTGAGGCTCCTGCACAAAGGGAGCATCATCTTGATGCTGATATGAAGCCACAAAAAAAGGGACAGGCGCAACGTTACACTGCAGTGACAACGCCAGCATTAAAGATCTGAGCCCTCAACAGGTGAACACATGATGCTAAGGCAAAGCTAAACTGTGAACAATTTTTTAAATAAATGTGCCTGTTTTGAAAAATCTTTATTGAGCATACGCTCTTCAATTGTAAGATTTTGTGAGGAACTTGCTCTGAAGCTAGGCTTCTACGCGGCACAAAATTTTACTGCAGGAAAACACAAACAAGCAGGGCATGCAAAAAATAAGGTGATTTCTTAGCAATAGCACGAGTATTGTTCTACGGTTCGAAAGGAACAGGAAAAGGCAATAACATTCATCATTAGCCATAAGTCAAGCATACAAATAAGCAATCTTGGTGAAGGAAGCAGATCTAAAAGTAGCAAGCCATGTATATATGAATATGAATAAAATATGCCTCACTGCAACAATTGATTTCTTTCCAAGTGACTGCGCTTTCATGAGCACATCATTTCACATCATACTGCCTATGAATTTAAATGGCTGGTCACGCACTGCCAGCCACACAGATATTGCAGTAGATTTCCTTTCCTTGTAGATCAGTTTCCTTGCTCTGTTGTTATGACTGCCCTGAATCGGCCACAATGCCACTTAATACAGAAGAGGAGCGATCAGTTTAGGTAAGCTAAATATTCTTTCTAGACATTTCAGCAATTAAATGAGAGTAGGTTGATTACCTGCGTCAACAAATGAAGGTACATTTTCATTTTTAAAAATTTCGTGCAGGAACCACACTGCCTATATGTTGGCATTATGGATTTTCAAGTACTTTTTTTTTTTTGGCCGTCAGTATAGCGGTTCATGTATACAAAACAGTTTACACATACCAATAAAAAGATTGAACAGACCTAATGAGCTATAATGAAATTTCATGGTGTCTCGAAAACCCGGCATGAAACCTTCAAAGCACTCATTGTGGAAAATTAGTTTTGTTAAAGCCAGAAACGTGAAGGAAGGTTCATCATCGAAAAAATAATGTCATCTGCCCACTTTTGGTGTGAAGCCACAAAATAAATCTATGTATTTCCCAGAAAAAATGCTTCTTTGTTGATTAAAAAATTCATCCTGGCCCCTTATTCAAACTCGTTACAAACAGCTTGCTGAGGTGGTCTCCCTATCATGAGCTAACCAGCAGTGCTAGCAGATTGCAGAAAAAGGGCAAAGTAAACTGACAAGTTGAAGGCCACAAACACTGAATAAGACAAATAAAGCCTGCAGAATCCTATGAAGGTGTGTGTGTGCATGAACATATACGAATGGTATTAAAAAAAAGACACGGTGAGAGAGTGATGGTGATACTGCTGACGATGATTACATTCCTGAGCAATTAAAAACCCCATGAGTAAACAGCACGACATGATGGCACCTCTCACCTGGGGTAGAGAGCCGATGAAGTTGAATGGTCGCTTGACACCGGGGTCAGTGCAGGTATCGATGCCAATGAACGTGTAGCGATCATCACCGTCACGGTGCGTGTACGAATACGAATGCAAGTGTTGCCGCCCTTGCACAGAGTAAACCCTGCACACAGTGAGTGAGTACACTCATATGCTCTGGTTCGTTCAGGACAAATCTTTACGCAGGTTCTGTGCTGTGCCCAGTTTAAACCTACAGTGCCAAAAACTATGCCTTGAAGGGACACTAAAGAAAGAAACCATTTTTAGTGTATTGGTAAATCATTCTCACCTATTACCAAAATCACTTGTATTGGTAAATTACTCTTAATACCAAAATCATACCTCCTGCCATGAAAAAACACTATGCAAGGGAGTTTCAAACCCTAAATCATTAGTATTATTGAATCTAGCGTTTCCCTCTAGCACCTGTTTAAGGTGCTTTAGCACCTTTTCGAGTAGTTGTCAGCTTCACTGAGGCAAGAGCGAAGTTACTGAAGGACAGGTAAGAAATCAATATACCCAAGCCTGCTACTCATTACTACTTTCGAAGTATCAGTGATGACAACTCTACAAACATGCAAGTCATAACAGTTTATTTATAACATCAGTTCTGCAAAAGCAGCAAGAAGCAAGTGCCTTACCTGTAAAAGTTATGCTCGTCCTCCACAGAGGCAAGATTCAAATTATCTGTCAAAAAAAATTAAATATTTGTGAGCGTTCGGAAATGTGGAGAGCTATGCTTATCTTCCAACCCGACCCTTCCTTTGCCTTGTCCCCATTAATACCTGTTGCCTCCTAATACATTAACTTTAACATTTCCATGAACATCAAAACAACTGCTTAAAGGGACTGACAACTGGATAGAATGCGTCACACTTCTAATTGCAGGGGTTTAACTTCCCAAAACACCACATGATTATTAGAGGTGCCAAAGTAGACGGTTTCCAGAAATTTAAACCACCTGAAGTTCTTGAACGTGCACCTAAATTTGTTCCACATTTCTGCCAGTGCTGCAATACACTGGCAGAAGTGGACGATTGTAAAATATACTTACAGAATTGGGCATTCTTTTCAATATTTAAACTGGTGCTTGCAATTTTAAACTGCATTTTAAGTCATAAAAACCAGTCCTTTCCCATTGACTCATGGAAAGGCATTGGACTAAATGAATGAGTCAGGCATCTCTGCTTATAGCAAAGTAAAAGGAGCTGATGCACAGTACTGACGCTTCTTCCGAAGCAACTAGTGGCATCATGTTGTGATGCTGTGAAGGCGTGCAATGCACCGCAAACTGAACCAAAGGAATATGAACCGCTGCCACGCAGGGCTGCATTTCTCAGGCAAGCCCGGTTCCGCTGACTGTGTCAAAAGCCTGCCTGAGCTCTATGCTAAAGTGCTGCGGAGGTAACCAAGATATTGTTTTCTGATACTGTGCCATTTTATTAAACATGTCGAACCAAACCATAAGCAAATAACGCATCACAGCCTTGAGAAAGGCACTACATATAGGAAAACAATTTCGGTGTGTCTATATTTTGGGCTTGATTCGGGCTTTGCAACTGACTTGGCTCAAGATGAGAAGGTGTTGACATACCCAGGCCTGGCTTCCTTACCGTGCCAAGCTCAGACTACCTAGTGGCCGTGCACACCTCTATCACCTACCACTGCTTACAGCATGTTGTGCATACGACTTTGTTGATGCTGTGCATTGAAAAATGCTGATAAAAGTATGTTTAGCAGCATTTTTCACTTTACTAGTCCATGATTAAATACTGACTTGTAAGCTTCCTGTTGCACTAAAGAAAACAGGTACTGTCGAAATTGTTTGTCTGTCCCCTTAACCATCATTTCACCATATCACAGAGCTTTAGAATACACCACACAAAGTTCGCCGGCGTTGCAAGCGTAGCTTTAGAATTCACCACTCTAAGGGAGCCCGCAAGTGGTCAGCATATGACGAATGTGCAACGCAAAGCATTGCATTCTGCTGTTCTAAGAACTCTCTATTATCTGCCAAATGTTTTGCCATTTACAGACCCAATGAACAGTGTAGAAGGTGTCAAAATACAGCACGTACCGTGATTTCCTCGAATATCTAACCAGATATGTTTGCGTGTAACACCAGTTTCGTAGATGGCCCGCCAATACTGTTGCCATTCCTCACGCATTTGACCAGAGTCCAAGAATCGGGCACCCAGCGAGTCTACGATATCACCTGCAAAAAACAATTAAAGCACACTACTATGACACAAGGTGCAAGAGTATAAAGGGAGAAATTCGGCCTTGTTGGTAAGACTTCAAGCAGTATTTACCACAAAGTAACAAAAGGGCGAGAAGGGAACACAAAATATGAGTGCATCTTGTCCTGAATCCTCATGTTATTTTGCTCTAAATGTCACCTCATGTCTCAAAATGTCCCAGTGAGTGCTGACCTCTTCACATGAACAGCTACGTGATATCAATCCGATATTGCAGTGACTTACCCGTCATCACTACAATAGGAGGCTTGATTATTTTCATAATGGTTTCAGCAATGAACTCCTTCAAATGCACTGCACGTTGAGGTACTGAGCCGCTCAGATGTGTGTCACTGACCTGCATGAAAATGCAAATTCGAGGTAGCACAGACACTACTACTGAAAATTCAACACCAGCAGGCCTCATGGTCGTAGTCAAGTTTTATTAACTAAAACATTAATGAAAGTATATGCAGAGATGCCAGCACAGCATTTTTTTAAAAAGCAACTTTGAATTCAACAAGCGACCACTCATCACGGTGCTTCTGTTCATCTTTAAAAGCAAAATACACGGTATCAATGAGCTTTTATGCCAATCATATGCACAGTAGCGTTGTCGGCGTAACATTTGAGTTGAATTCTAACCATTTTTATCGCAGCAGCACTGAAGCTCCCTTTTATTTCGTGAAGCTCTAACTTTTGCGAGCAGGCAGCTAGCTATACCAACTAAAAAATACGAACGGGCAAATACCGCTAATCTATTTTAGCGTAGATGACAACGAGTAAGGCACGGGCACTACTTGTGCAATGATTAAATTAAGGAGAAAAGCTTGACGCCAATGTGAGGTAACCGACCTGAACGAAATACATGAGGTGGCGGTGTTCGTCGTTGGGCACGACGGAGTCGCCCGTCGGGTCGTCGACGGGCCACATTTGTTCTTGGCGGGGCGGTTCGTCACCGATAGTTGCCACGTACAAAAACACGAGGACGAAAAGCAAGAGGACCGCCAGCAGTCGCCTGGTGCACGCCATGGTCCTCCGTAGCAGTTCCGGTGCTTGCGGTCGCGGCCCGGTGGACATCCGAACGAATTCAACACGAATCACAGGGGCGCATTGTTCCCCAATCGCGCGGCACGGGCGCGACCGATAGCGTTCGAGGAAGAAGAACGATCATGTGGAGGCCAATTCGTCGCATTAACTGCAGAGAATAAGAGGCAGCGTTGTCCTCGCGGGAGAATCAACCAATAGATCGACTAGCGGCTGCCCCGTCTCCGCCGTCATCGCGCCGGAGCGAGTCGGACAACGTCAGCTGTGACACATGACGCATGCGACAAGTGCGTTCGCGTTCAGCGCCGATGCAATCAGGCGTAACTGTTACGGTACACCACGTGGACAGAGGAAAAAATTCAGGATCTCTGCCGCATTTTGCCTAGAACAGCCGTGTTGTGTTCGTTCATCAAACATTGCGTCATACCTGCAATCAACTGCGGTTTCGGTTTCTGTTTCGGGATCTTTTCACCTTTTTCACTGAGCCACTGGTGATACTTAACTGCAGCGTAGTGCCATAACATCGTGCTATAACGCTATCATGCCTTGCTTCCGCCATAAAGTTGAAGGTTTATATGAGTCAAAAAGCTGAAAAAAATACAAGTACAATTTACCAAGGGGGCCAGCGAAAAGGCATAATTAAAAGCCTGACGGATGCCTTCCCCCTGTAAAACCAAAATCCCTCCAAATGACATGATCCCCAGTACAAAATTAACATTGCATAAGGAAATACATATAAATGAGTTAATACATGCCACCGGTTTGAAATTTCGGAGGTTCGGGAAAAACGTTCTGCTGTACCATGTCGCACGCTGCCAGCTCTGCATGGAAGCGTCTAAGTTTAGACTTACTAAGGCATATTGCACAGATTGCACAGCACTGCGCTTCTGGTGTACATTTTCCACCACAAGGCAGAATAAACACCAACTGTTTGTTCTATCTTGAATACTAATTAATTGATGGTCTATCTAGGGGTCTTAAACACGCGGCCCAAGATCCTTGCGGTCCGCGCGTGACTGTCTACTGGCCACTTTTTTTTTATGTTTGTAAGCTACTCAGGCATGGCTGGCCTAAAGTATTTTTGTCGCCAGGTCACCCTATGTGAAGAACCATGAAACAAAAACTATACTTCACAATCGGCGTCCGGCTTCTAGACCGGTATCGACGTGTCGATGGAAAGATGCGCTAAATATTCTTCGGAAAGGAACACTAAGAAAAAAATCGAGTATTTTGCGAGTATTTCTGCCACGCAACAATAATTGTAATCTACTCTCGCGTTATCGCCACGGTTCCGCTAATCCGCGGTCACGATCGGCACGCGCGTTATCAGTATGACATATATAAGATTCTTGATAGGAAAGTGGCGAGCGCCGGGTTTTCAAGAAAGGAAACGCGACCAAGTCAGAAGACGATTATTGTTGCGTGGCAGAACTACTTTCCAAATACTCCCTTCTGAAAGGGTATATGAGATGAAGTATTTGAGGGGTAGTTCTGCCACACAACAATGATCGCATCTGTTTCCACTAAAGCCTCTAGAAGTATTAGGGGCTTTAGTTTCCACACTTGCTCGTCGCAGCGCATCTACTCGTGGGTTTTTGACGTGGTGTTACGCCCTCTCCCTATGTGTGTGTTTGATGCCTGGGTGTGTGCGTGTGTGAGTGATTGTGTCGTGTGTTCGCGCTCAAATTAACTTTTAGAAATGTTGTACCAACTAGCCCAACAAGTTTTTTTTTACAACACTACATATATTATGCCTCTGGCCTTGCTCCTAATTACGAGGCACGGACCATATCAACCAGTACAAATGGCTACCCAATATTTAGAGCCCCGATGCCCGGGGCTCAACTATGGAGCAGAGGGACCGCGATGCGGCTTAGCTTGAAAAACTTTTATTGCTGGTGCAATAAGTAAAGTTTGATGAGGCCCGGAAGAGGCCCCTCCTCACAATCACTAGGTGGGCTCCTCATTACAGGAGCCCATTGGCGACCGCCGCAACTCGACCTCTGTTGACCAGGGTCTTCTGGCTCGCCATGTCGGAGGAGCCGGGCAGGGCCACCTCCCAGTCCTCCCGGGTGGGCTTTGGTTTTGTGGTGAGCTTTGGGGCTGATTCCCGCCTCATTTCACGGGCCAAGTCCCAGGGCCAAAGCACGTGAACTCGTGCCCAGTCTGACAGCCATCAAAGAAGGAGACGATGAAGAAGTGCCGTGTGTCGCCTATCAGGGTCGTCGCTTCTCGGGTTTCTCCGACGATGGAACCCGAGGGGTGTCCGCGGAAGAGCTCGACCTCGTCGCCCCCTGCTCCGCGATCGTCGACTCCCGAGCTCCAGTCGTTAGCCGACCAGGCTTCTCTTCCAGGAATCCACAAGCCACTGCAAGGAAGGTACCTGGGAGAGGACACCGACGACGAAGGCGACGTCCGAAGGTGCATACATTCAAATATTCAGGGATTCGTTCGTTCATTCATTTTTTTTATTGTGTTCAAAGCCTTAGATGCCTCACCGAGCGCGAAAATTGACCCTTGGCGTCGGCGTCACCACGAGTGGTGTAAAATAATCATCACGCGATGACGTCACCTTATGATGTCTTGCTTACATCACTAACACACATGACACTGACGCTTGGTCAAAGGTGGACCGATCACAAGCGCTTACACTGTAATCGCAGCCGGAATATTGTCTCCGCTCGCTTAATTATTTTGCACACTAACTTCGCCGAGATCAATATCGGTTATTTGTCCATTGTACAGCCCGTAATTTTCGTATCTATTTGTTACTCTTCCAATATTTCGTGGCTGTAAGTAAGAATACGCCGATCAAAAGAAAACTACGGCTTCGTATGCCTCATAAGACTTTTTTTTTCTTAGTTTACATACTAATACTCCCTAACACCTAACGTGGTTCTGCACTGCCTGCAAGGTCGGAGGCACTGCAAACTTGCTGCTCCTTACCCGCTTTTGCACTGTAGCGTCCGTAATCAGCCCACCTATTGACCAAGCGACAACGTTATGTGATGACGTCACCTTATGGCACGTCATGATGGGGTCACGAATTCGTCCACACAGCTAGCCACCGCGCAATGTTTCCCGGCGTGGCGCGAGCATAGTGCGAGCGACGAAAGGCCTGTGCTTTTACAGTGGGTGCCAGAGCCAGCTTTGCACGTTAGTTTTCTGGCGCAGGAGTTTAGACATTCTTGCGTGGCATGCGATAGGCGGTGATTCAACTCTTTGTCTAGGCGAAGGAAAAACCTGGCATCAGTCAAGGAGGCCAGCGTTAGGCCCCTATAATCAGCCAGCTTCGCAGTTTCCTAAACTTTTCACGGCTAGTGCAATCTTCTCCTTTGTTCAAGCTCTTTGAATAAACGACGAAAGACTAAATGGCTTGCGCGAAACGTTCTCTCGCGCAGGCCAACCGATGGGTTGTCGCATCGCAAGGTGTCACTGGCGAGCTCGCAGCCACGTTCGCCGCCGGCCAAGGAGCCCTCTGCGGTGAAAACGGTAGCCAGTCCTTCGACCCTGAGTCGTCGAAAACGCAAGTGCGCCAGTATCCGAAAGCTGCTGCGGTCGCCGTCAGCCGCACCCAGTACGCCAGCCGTCATGTCGATGAACGCCGACGCGACTGCCTCCGTGAGCGTGGCTAACAGGGCGGCCATCGAGGCCGGGCCCGCCACCCACCAGCTGGCTCGAGTGCGCACGCCAGACCACGCCGACACATCCACGTGAGGACACGGTCCCTTCAAAAAGAAAAAAAAGAGAAAAGGAGAGTCACTAAACGGAGCTTAATCCACGGATAAGACGTTATAATAAGGCGAAAACCTTAAGCGTCTTATGGGTAAAAGTGTCCGGTGCATGGCGTCATATGGCATCCTGTAATTATGTCACACCATGATGTCTACGCTCTGTCTAACGTAGATTTTCCGAGTGCAACCATAGCGTCCCATGACCTGGCGCTCTTGTGCCATCAAAGCGCCATGAAACACCATATATCAGGGAGAGAGGGTGGTAGGTTCACCACAGCGACTCCGCCCCATCGCTGTTCATGGAGATCCAAAGAAAATGAGCTAAGCGTTGGATGCAAACACGAGAATCAAGAATTTACATGCTTCTCACAAGAAGCTGCCTTTGTTACCCTGATTTCCACGGGTAAATGAGAGAACTGAATATTTTTTCGCATTCAACATATCTTGGAATTGCCTCCTCACCCGCCTTTTTGCTGCTGTGGCCATAGCCATGCACTAAATAATGACGGTACCGAACAGAAAAAGTATGAGGCAACTTGCCCCCCCCCCCTTACCAATGGGAAGAATGAAGGGGGGGGGGCACCGTCCCTCTAGTCATCCTAGGAGTGGGAGGCGATGATTGAGGGTGCAACCGGTAATTAGGAGCAGTTTCGCGGCATCGCCATTCGTGCTCTGCTACTACTGTAAATTGGCGCGGCTTATTTCTTTAAACGCATGAATAAGGAGAAATCGCTTGGCTATGTACTAAGCATGTTTGTATTCGGCTCATATACTTACAAAAAAAAGTTGCAATTTTAGTCTGCTCCAATCATTGATTTGGTGCCTCAGTAACTTGAGAATAGTTCATCAATATGATTTAAAAAATATGTATTTTTATTATTCGCACAGAGTACCAACCAAAGCGTCAGCTGGCCTAGCCAGACACCAGGGCATGGAGGAACTGCAAGCCATCGACCAGAATCGCCAACGCAGGACCCCTCTCCGGGAGACCACAGTCAGTGGATATGGCTCGCTTGGTTGCAGGAGGTTGTGACATATCGAGACAGGGAAGAAAAAGAAACACATGCGCCATTTTATTTCTGTAGGACCATCTATAATTATGTAGAAGACAAATATGAGATAACGTAATGCGAGAGCGAACGGCGCGCAACTGATGGATTAGGAGGGAACAAAGACCAGTCGCCTTTTATGGCACAAAGGCTTCGTTTATAAGGGCGTATCTTGGCAAATAGTCACGAACGTTTTCTCTCTTTCTTTTTCTGGGAGGATCGCATGCTATATCGATGCAGACTAATAGCAAGACTGTCAGTTTTTCTTCCGTACGTGCCTTTCTTTCAACCCAACAAAACGTAGCAGGCTGGGGATAGCTTCCCAGCGTCTTTTTTTTTTTTTCGTTGAGCACGTACGGTAACTTGCAGCAGCTGCCCAGAACAAAACTCCCGAGACCCTCCAGTGCATGCAGTCAGCGATAAGTGCTGTCCGTATTAGCCGGATCCTCACCAACGAGCTCGCTTCCTGACACTCACCTTGTTGCCACCTTACATACCGAGTCCTTCCGTCCTACACTCAGAACACCCTGGGCCACATGTCTCCGGGTTGTGTGTCGGGGTACCTGCGGCTGCGCACTCCGTCTCCGAGCTGCCCCGGCACCCCCCCTTCCACGGCGGGCGGAGTGAAGGGT